CGTTACCCTCCCTTATCTCTTTTGAGATTCGCCTCGCGCTAGACACGCTACTCGCTATCGTTTTTCGAAGGGAAGAAGAAAGAGCACCCTCTTTGACCATCGTTCCGGAAGATGGCCAGGGTTCGATGACACCAAAGTTTACGAAACGACGTTTCAATGGAGGTGCTTTGGCTTCTTCCTCCTCTCCCCCTCCGACAGGGTGATTGCGAAATTTGAGAATCGCTGAATTCTTGTATCGCGTTCCCAGCGTTTTCCAACCGAATGATCTTCGCCGGCGAGGAGCAAAGCGCAAAGCTGGGGGGATTTTCTTCGAGAACAACGATACCTGGTCCTATTACTTGAGCTTCGTTCGGCCCTTGTGCTCGCTCGCTTTTCGTCAGATCGGTTGGAAGATTTTCTGGCCGAAGGTATTACTCGTATTTTGATGCACCTAGGATGGGGCAACGACTTTCTGTTCTGTTCTGATAAATCGGATAGCGGAAAAGAGGGGTTAAAGGAAAGATGGCGGAGATCTCGAACGTTAAATCCTGAGGGTTCTGCTCGGCTAAGATCGTACGTGGGATTATTAAATCATCGAGTTGGGATAGATAGAGGCGGTAATTTTATTTACTATCTCTCTTGCCGAGATATATATATAATATATTCGCTGCACGTTCGAATGCGCCATTCGGATCCCTCGAGGAATAGGAAACGAGCCTACGAGTATTTTCAAAGGATCGCGTGACACGTAGAGAGAAGAGGACACGTGCGCGTCGACTTAAATGTATCTCTTTTTATTGGAAAGTATTTTTTCCCTCTCTCGAGCCAAGATCTCACCCCCCCCCCTCTCTCTCTCTTCCAATCTTTTCTTCCTTTTTTTTTATTCCCTCTTTTTCCTTTTTTGTTCCCCTTTGATTTCCAAGCGACGAAACTGGCACAAGGTTAACGCGCAAGGTCGATGTTTGATTAAATGCCAGCCCTCACGTCATATAATTTCCACAACACCCCCTTGTCCGATATCGTTTACCAACTTTAAAATCGAACTTTCCCTTTCGTGAATGGATTTTGTGAATAAAAAGTTGGAAGGACAGGGAGAGAGGAGAGGGGTTGTGGATCGATGAGTATTAGGCTATTCTATCTAATGGACGAAATGCAAAGTCATGAATGAGTCGAGTGAAAAAGAATTTGAGAGACGAGGGACGAAACGAGGGATGGCCCTCCCCGATCAAAATTAAGATCTCTGCCTCAAGGGACTTTTCTTTTTTGCATGTTTTACGGTTCTGAAAAGCGTGATGATATTTTCTTTTTTTCTCTCGTATTTAATTTCCCGTTTGAAAAGAGACTTGGTTAAACTTTTTTTTTTAAACTAAACTTAAAGAGAAGATTTTTGAAGAAGCGAACTAAAAGAAACGAGGATTAAGAGTGAAAGGCGCATCACCATTTAATTCCATCCAAATCCAATTTGCATTACACGAATGATTTTCAACTCTAAAAAAAGTTATTTTTGCGAGAAAAGTTATTTTTCTGAGAAAACTCGTGCTATTAAAAAAAACAATTTATTACATATATATATCTTCAAAAAATCTCTTCTTCGAACCGAAGCTTTAATCCAACTATTCTCTGCCAGTTGAAAATTTCTCTTTTTAAGCTTCTTTCGTTCTCCTTCCCCCCCTTCTTTTCAAAATTCGAGGGAACATACTTCAATTTGTCGTCAACTGGCGACGACCCAGAGTTATCGTGAACCGCATATTTATACACACACGCATCGCGTAATCTTTCCCCTCCCGTCTGCGTTTTACAATCGCCAGCAACTCGGAACCGCAGTTGGCTCGCGGAACAAAGATCGCGCATCACGTCTCCGTCATTTATCTCTGGATCCCTGCTGATTCTGAGAATCAGAATCCAAAAAAAAACTCGCCCATTCTCGATTCCCTCGTTAATCTCGAAGGCGATTCCTTCGAGAGAAAGGAAGAAAATCGCGAAGAATAACGACGTTGTTCCACAGTTGCTGTGAAAGTGCGAAAATTACGAAGGAACAGTGACGTGTCGAGTGTCGATATCGCATCCGAATCCGGCGATCTCTCCATTGGAGTTGTTCCGGCGAGAGGGGAATTTAAACTCGATTGGCGATGCGACGAGCCACCGCCTCGTCCGCCCCATCGATTTCTCCGCGATTAACGACACACGCGAGTTTACACGATGGTGCGATATTTCTTATTTAACTCGACTCGTTAAATACGCGGCCACGGTATTAAATTGTCCAGAAGGGGAGAGGTGTGAGGATGGTCGATCTTGCCAGGCAACAAATCACACCGGTAAACCTAACACGATGCGATATTTGGCACCTGTTTCGCAAGGATTGGTATCGTGCCAACGTCAAAGTGCCACGATGATGACTCTCCTCCCTTCCTTTCCTCCCCCCCCCCTCTCCTGTTTATTTTATTATTTTTCTTCTTTTTTTTCCTCCCATTTTATTCGATTCGACTCGTTCGACCGTGAATTGAATTGAATTCCGCGTAACACCGGAATTATTGTGCAAATGCGGTCGCCTCCTCGATCCTATGAATGAATTTCCGGCATCGAGGCCTCGTTTGATCGGAAGAAGGAGAGAAAGAAGAGAGAGAGAGAGAGAGATGAGAGATGATAAAAAGAATAGAGGAAGAGGGAGTGAAAAGGATGGATATAGAGGCGAAGACGGAGGAGCGACGGTGAATCGAAGTGGCTCAATTTGGTTGATTAAATTGGCCTCGAGTTTACGTCGAGGAACGAGTTACTGGGCTGTGGCAACGGCCATGGTTTATGCGAGTTAACGCTTCTCCGCGAGAGGCCGCGCTTAATTCTTCCATCCACCCGTTTAAACGCCCCTTCTTTTCCGGCAAGTGAACCTCTCTCGAGAGATAAGAAGATTCGCGCGGGGTTGAACGATTTGGTGGTGGATTTTATCGTGGGAATAAAAAGAGGAGGAAAGAAATAATAATAATTATTCAAAGATATAATAATTATTCCAGAGGATTTGTGGAAGTGAACTTGGCTGAGAGTATGCTGCGTACCGTCAGCTATTCTGTCAGCTGGCAATTTTGGATCAGGGAGGGTCCACCGGTGTCACGAGATGAGTGTGCAATTTCATCTCGATGATACGAGGAAAGGTACGAGATGGATCTTTTTCGTTGAATATAAAATATATATTGCTGATTTCGAATTAGTCCTTAATTGGATCTGGAAAATTTTAGTACGATCGAAGAATTGGATTAAATATTAATGGAGGAGGAAATGTCACTCTCTTCTCGATATAATGGATTTTCGTGTTCTATTATGAAAAAAAGGAAACGCGAATATGAATTAGAGGCAATTGTAGAGAATTGTATTGAATTTGCATATTAAATCTGACGATTTTCTCTTTCGTCTCTGTCGTGTCTTTTTAAATTCGAGGAAAGTGTGAGAAAATATGTATGATTTCAATTTTCGAAACGAGAGAAAAATTGAGATATGAGATATTGAATTAAGAAGCATTTTGGGATAAAAATTGGCGTTGAATGGAGGATGTTAAAACTATCGTGACGTTTGACACGTTGATCTGTGTTTATCACACGAGGTTAATCGAGATCGTTCAAAGTCATTCCGTCGAATGGAATGCATAGTGAATAGGGGTTGATACTCGTAGACACACGCTTTAAGCTGAACACAAAGGCCACCTTGATTCAGAATTGAATCTGTCAACCGACGACGTTTGTTAATTAGCAAATATTAACCGTTTATCCTGATATTTGCGTGAATGTATTTAATATTTCATACAACTTTTTTCCCCCCTTCCCCTTTGTATATTTAATTATCTGGTTGGATCGCGTGTTGAAGTTGTGCGATACGTATATATAGCGCGAAAATTAACTTGGAAAACAATATTTTTGAAATTCAATGAAACGCGATGCATGATTTGATTAATAAAAAAATGTCAACTATATTTATGTTATTAAATCTTTATTTAATCTGACAGCAAAAAATGGATTTAATCGTTAAAGATATGATTTTATCTCGACGTTTTGTTCTCGACGTTTTGATTTACAAAATAAAGTTAATAACGATTTACTTTTTTTTATTCCAAAATAATAATGAAATAATATTCTTGCATATTACTTCTTTATAAAGAAAGAAAAAATAATTTCTTTTTGCAATTTATGTTAATAAATCTTCTTATCTAAAATCAAATAAATAATATAATTTTCCGAATAAGTTATAAGATAGTAGATCATTCCATTTATCATAAAATGGTAAAATTATAAATCTGTGAAAATTTATTAATCAGTTATCACACATCTGTGAATCCAAAAAAATCATTTTTTTCTTCCATCTCTTATCACTCTTTCTTCATTCCACCGCACATAATATTATAAATTTCTGAAAATTTTCCAATCTTTCCATCTTCCACCATTCTTTCGTTCTTCCATTTCATCCAATTTCATTGCGCGTTTAACATAAAATTAGAAATTTCTTAAAATTTATCGTACATTCAATTTTCCAGCATTACTGAATCATCATCCATCTACGCAAGAAAATTCAGAAAACTATTTTTTCTCCATCTCCTTCTTCCATCCCACTGCGCGCTTAACATAAAATTACAAATTTCTGAAAATTTATCGTACATTCAATTTTCCAAATCATCATCCATCTACGCAAGAAAATTCAGACAACTATTTTTATTTTCGTTCCTCCATTCCATCACGTGTAATAATTATATCCCAAATCACCTAGTGATCCTTCACTCCCCCACTCGTCGGGGGTGTTTAATTTTCGTGGAGCACCGGTGATAAACGGCGGAATCCCCGCGAGAGAGATTCGAGTGGCGGTTTTCTCCCGTTTGTGCCGCCCGTTGAAAGAGTGCGGGGGATGACGGAAGGGGGAAGAGGGTAGTCTGCTCGTGTTTTTTTTTCTTTTTTTTTCGGCGGACGTTCTTTCGCCGACCGGCCCTCCATTAAATTCCACCGGATAACGTATCACCGCCGCTCATTATTTTTCTCTTGACGCAGTTTCAACGAAAGCCCTGGCAGGCGCCAAGACTCTCGGAGGATTTTTGTACAGCGCCGTGAATAAGGCTGGAAAAACCGTGGTCGAGGCTGGGGCAAAGATCAAGAAGACCGTCGAGGAGAACGTGAGTAACACGAACTTTTTCCTTTTTTTTTCTTAACATTATAATTCCTCTTTTAATGTCGTCTCTGTTTCTGAAAGTTGTCGATGATCGTAGAAACGCAAACGTTAATAATTCGTGTTATTGTTGGAATTAGGAATTTTTTTTTTTTTTTTGATTCGATAAGTATAACTTGCGTGATTCACAATTTACGGGGATATATAATTTTTTTCTTGGATCTACTTTGGATCTTTTATTTATTCCATCGGGGGATTAAAAATGGTAAATCAATTATAGAAGGTAAAAAGAACGAATGTTTATTTTAAAAATAAAAGATAGGTCGATGGTACGGGAAATATATGAAAGCATACGATAAGCGAGATTTTGATAAATTTAATGTTATTGATTTTCGATGACAAGTGTCGGAGAGATATAAAAAAATTTATCGCAAAGTTTCACATTTTATAATGCATTTTATCGCATTTTGAGAAAATCCTTTAAGCCCGATATTCGCGAAACAAGAAGCGATAAAAAATTCCGCATTGCTCCTTTTCAACTCGTCGTTGAAATTAATGGAATAGAAAAAAAAAAAAAAAAAAGAAAAAAAATCTATTCTTGTTCTAAAAAAAATGGAAATCGACTTTTTATCAGCTTTATGTTCATGTTGTTGAAACGAGTAACGACGTTTACCTTCCCGCACTTTTTTCAAATGAATTTTTCCGATAATTGCATTTACAGTTTCATTGCAGCGAAAAATCATCCGTTCAGAAAAACCAGCTATTTTTCCCTCCGCTTCTCTTCCTCCGCCCTCGATTTTCCGAACTCGGTTGTTATTCAAAATTAATTCACCCGAGTTTCCACGAGCCACGAGACTATACCGCCATTGAACCGTGGTAATTGGAAAAAGCGTTTCGTCTTATTTCCGATCTTTGAATAAGTCTTTTTCAGAGTGGAAAATAATTTCCGCGCGTTAAGACGCTAGAGGCGAAGAAACCGTTCCTCTTTCTTTCTTCTTTCCCCTCCCCCCCTCTCTTCTGCATTGTGAAAAATTGTAAGAGCCGTTAAAACCGTGTATTCGTATTATAAGAATGCCAGACCCGGGTTTTCACGTAAATTAATCCATCGTCGACGAATCGTAACGGGAGAAAAAAAGTCGGGGGATTAATCGGCTCCGGTTATCTAGAAAATTTATTTATATTAAGGAATATGGTACGTGCATCTTGCAATAAAAATCGAAATTAACTTAATTAATTTGTTGGTGCACGGTTCCAACGATAATAATCACATTAATATCAATTTATTACTATACTGCGCGACCAATTACCACGCGTGGCTTAATACACGGGGAAGATAAGGGGAGATAAGAGGCGGTTGCGGTGATTTAATCGCGCGAGAATCGATATCAAGGGAAGCTTCCAATTTAATTCCAAAAAGCTTAAAAAAAAAAAAATCTGGATGGATCGAACTTGTCGAAAAGCGAGGGAAAATTAATAAACGAAATGCAAAAAAAGGAAATGAAAAAAAATAGAAATTTTTCAATTAAAACGGAAATGTTCGTTCATCCCGATTTATTATTTTACTCGCATCATTATACGATGCACCGACAACGTGTAAACGTTCGGGACGAATTTTATTCACGCGTTACGTACACGTTTCGAGTACATCGTTTATCGTTGAACGAGGAACGAAGACACTCTGTTCAGGAAGGAAGTAATCGAACGCATCTTTAAAGTGCTTCTTTTCGCTCTTACCAGCCTTTATCCCCTTCTACTAGTTCGACAATTTTTCCACGTTGCACGCGTAACTCAACTTTATATCGCGATTTCTATCTCCGATTCTATCGACTCGTTCGCACGAGTGGAGAGTATTTTAAGCGGGATTCTTCGAATACCGTTGCAACTTCGTATCGCGTTCTGGATGGATCTAATTTGTCGGAGGAACGTTCGTAGCATGTTCGAGCAGAGGTCTTTGACCGTCGTTTTTCAACGATCGTGCGCATACCAGGCGGGACGAAAAATCGAGAATGAAAAAGAGTCAAGCAAATCGAAACGACGTTTATAACTATTTTCACTTGCTCTCAAATACTACGTTCAAACGTAAGATATTAAATTTTCGAACAATAATAATATCGCTTCGGGTTTTGGATTCTCTATCGACGATGAAGAGAAACGAAGATCGTTCTTTTATGTATAATGAACGAAATAAATTTTCCAAATGAATTTTCCAGCGAAAAATCTCTGTCTCGGGCTGTATATACGTTTTCTCGAAATTTATAAAAGCGCGATTTCGTACTCAAGGTCGATCTATGTATTTGCTTCCGCTTGATTGAGTAATAAAAAATTTCTCGTTTATTTATACAACATTTTCATGGATGCTCCATTGAAATTTTCAATCTTGGTGTGTTGATTTTGCTCGAGATAAATTGGATTACTAGGTGAAGGACTCTCTTTGACGAAAATTACTGTCAATGATATTACGGAGATCGTAAAATGTATCGTTTGCAAAAAGGAAAATCGATTTTCAAAACTGCATAGCACGTGATATTTAATCGAAATTGCAAGGCATAAATAAAAACATGTGCCTAAATAACTGTATATCTCGTTATAAAAGAAAAAAAAATACATATAATTACAAATTTTAATGTTCGTATATAAAAGCAATTGCTGCCTCGATTCATTAATTCGTACACCTCGTTAAAATGCATGCATAGTTATTAGAAATCCACTAAAGTGGTTGGATACTTAAAGCAGTCGTGTACAGGATACGAGCGCTCGAAAGCAATTTATTCGATCCGTGGTCGATCAACCAGTGTGATTCACACCGACGAACCGTGTCGAAACGACTGGCTCCAGCAAATTTGTAGAGAAGGATCGACCTTGGCTTGCACGCGTGTAGTACACACGTATGCTCGATCCGCTGACAACTGTTAAAATGTAGGTCGTCGAAATTTATCAATCGCACCCCTCTCGCTTTTACTTTTCCAACGAGTTTAAACTTAACTTTTTCTTTCGTTCCACTGACTCGTCAAAAATCCGAAGAAGGACAAACGTGAAAAGAAAGAAAGAAAGAAAGAAGGGACGTTATTAATGAATCTGCAGGAATTCAATTTCACAAACTTATCGCAAACTCGGTCGTTACAAATCCCCCACCGAGATGTTTCGTGTTTTAGCTCGAGCAATCTTGCATCTCGAATACGCGTTTCGTGCATGCACGTGACGTGCAATTTCTCAAGGAAATCTCGAAAGCTGTGATGATTGTCCGCTTAATGTACGCCGGTGTTAGTGACAGCTCGTCGGCATTGTCAACATTATCGCGGAGATCCTCGATTGCTCGTAGAATTTATTCGAGGATTTTATTTTAACCAATAAATTACATCGAGTCATTTTCGAACGGCTACATTTCAATTTTCCATCCGGCTATCATCAGCCAATTTCGAATACATCGTTATCGTTTCGAAAACGTAGCTCGTTAACGAATATATACGATTGTGGAGTAATTATTAAACCGGTCAGGATAACGCAATGCAAATGGAAATTAGATTTGCATCGTGGACGCGTGCAGGCAAATTTCGCGTCACTTTCGTTCGACGATCGAACGAATCGCATTTCCTCTATCGAGGGGGATGGGCCGGTGATCCGTATAATTCAGTTACAGAAATGCTTGGCACGTGAAAGAGATATATATATATGTATTCCCGAAGCGCAGAAAAATCTTCTAAAAAAAGGGAAAAAAAGTGTCCATTTTCCCTTGGAGAACGAAAGAAAGACTTTTTCACCCATCAATATCGAATCCTCTCCAAACCTCTCTTTTTGTCTCTCTCGAAAACTTTTACTTCTCGTCAAGGAGGGGATAAAAAAGAGCGTTCCTAACGCGTCCCCCACGATGGCGAGGCAAGAAACCTGCGATGAAAAGGCGCGATACGATTAAACGATTGGTTGACAAGTGTCATCCCTAATAACGTTCCACCCATATGGGTTGCGTCGCATTATCGGCCAACTTGACCGGCGTTTGCCCGATGATATATGACCAACGACCTGGTAAAATCTGTCGAGCAGCGCAAACACCCCGTAAAGGGAGGGGTCGATTAATGGAGAGCAATACTTTTCACGCGGTGTCAGATCACGCGTGCAAGCCTTCTTCCAACCAAATGGCACGCTATATAATTCCCTCGCGAGCCGATATTAAATTCCATGAATTATTTATCCGGATCTTGATAAATCCTTCCAGGGAAAGGAAATATCGTTTACGATATCGAGAACAAATAGATACAACGCGTCGCGTTTATTCCATTTTCTTACCGCTAACAGCTGAGGTTAAAATTATATTCAGCACGGTTAATTGGTTATCGAGGGGAGGGAGAATCGCGTGAGTTTGCCGTTTCGTGATGATAAGGCGTGACACACGCGTGGGGGACAAATTGAAAGACAAGGATCAGTCTGAGAACTTGAACGAGAATTCAACGCGCACGTTGCGTGTTACGCGAAATATAACCGTTGTTAGACGTTTAATTAATATTAAACTTCCGAAATCGATCGGTGGTGATGAACGCATCCCTAAACGCTCCTGTTAAACCGATAATTTTTACACTCTTCAAATCGTGACTGGTTAACTATTACAAGAATCAAGTGACGTGACAGTTATCGAGGTAGTTATCTTTGCGATTTCATTCACTTTAGTGCTATTTCTGTCGAAAGAGTCTGATTACAATCGTTACGATCCAAAAATTATAATTACGATAACTCTTTAACGATAAGACAATACGAACACACTATCTTCATTCATTTGAATTTCTCGTTAAAAATGATCTTTCTTAGAATCGTATCATTTCTGTCGAAAGAATCTGTTATATAATTACAATTATTACAATTCAATTACAAAAACTATAATTAGAATTAGCCAATAAGATAAGATAACGTTATCTCCATCGAAGCACGAATTCCGCACAGCAAACGAGGCAGAAAATGCGACAATCCGCGAATACACGATGATAACGCATCGATAATGATCGGTAATGTTATCCAACA